GCCACGAGTACCACATAGTACCCCAACAGCGCAAATGCTTGCGAATGCTCGCATGGCTGGTCGATATAAGGAGGCCATGCGCGCGCACAACTCTTATACGAAAGTCCAGCGCTCGGTACCTACCTGATTCTCGCAGCATAAAGTTATGGGTTGGATACTGAAGGGACTTGGAGTGTTGTGATGTTGTGTTTGTTTTGTGTTTTTCCATGTGTTATGTGTGGGTAGATGTAAATGTTGTGGTGCAACGAGTGGTTTGTGTGATGCGTCCTAGTCGACCGGCACCGAGTCGCGTTTGGGACCTCAGCCCCCCAGTACATCGATTCACGTGCGGGTCCGATTTTCGGGCGTTCAACCGCGCGTAACCCCCTATGCTACAGCGAACGAGAAACGCCCTTGGCTGGACCACCTCTGCAATTGCATACGAAAAGCTTTCGCATGTGGTTCGGTAGCTCGGCAGGGATACACCCACCTAAGGGATGGTGACAGCTCCCGCAGGTGGAGGTAAAGCGGTGCCTCACGTGACTCTGTCCTGTCGCAGGGACTTGCGAGAGGTACGGCCGGCGCACTCGGCCGGAGCGGCACCTCGCTCTCCGCGACGGAAGTCCTGCCAAATCCTGCGTGACGCGGTCGGGAGGGTCCCCTTGCGGAACGATGTGCTCGACAGGTGGCGCCGTTGCCGGGGAATCTCGGCTGCCTACCGGGGTCCACAGTGAACGAACCCAGGTTAAGAGCAGGCTGATGATTMAGGCAAAACGACAACCCTTGAGGAAGAAGTTTGATGATGATATGAGTATTGTGCTATCTTCGGTGGCCTAACAAAATTTATTTTTGATTGCGAGTAAGGTTGAGAGTGTGCCTTGTGTGTATTCGTTTCAAATAATAGAGTCGGAATTACGATATAAAGGTCGGATAGACTATCTTAGTTATTAAAAGTATGTTCGATCGAATAACRGAACTAKAGAATTTAGAGGTTTGACGGCAGGTCGTTTGTCGAAATCRTTTTTTTTTCGCAACAGGTCTTGAGGAAGGACAAAGATGCCGGACTCCGATGGAATCGAGCGGGGCCCWGGTGCTACACCYRAGGACTTCGTCAAGGCTTTGGAAAAGAGAGAGATGGCACGRCTTCAGGTGCCCAAGGTTAACATCTTCCACTTCAATGAGGATAGGGTGTCCGAGTGGCTTGAGCTGTTGGAACAGGTCACTTGCGAGGCATCAGAGGCAGACAAATTCAAGYTGATGCCTMGGTACGTATGGTGGGAGCTTAGACCTGAGGTAATGAAAGTAGCGGCAGGCGCAAATGGTGAGTGGGCAAGGTTTAAAGGGGAGATGCAGAGGCGTTTCAAGTTAGGGGACGACCTGCTCACAAAAGAAGACCTGGAAATGTTGAGACGGGACGAGTTCTCCACGGTAGGAGCCTTTGCCACAGCATTTGAGAAGATGGCAAAGAAAGTCCGAGGGCTGGCAGAAGAAGAATAGTGTGCCACTTTCCTGGGCACTTCAAGAATTGGGAAGCCTCGTCGCTTACCAAGAAAGTTGCGCCAGGAAAGAAACTGACTTGGGGTGCCATAAAAGAAGGCGTGCTAGAGGGAGAATTGGACCAGGTAGACATCTTTCAGATGAGACAGGCTAGGAACAAAAGGAAGACTTTGGATACTATCACTAGTGATGGGCGCCACTTCAAACAAATGATAGAAAATGTTGTGGCCCAACACGATGAAGAGAAGGAGGCAAAAAAGAAGGGTATGGCGACGCCACAAGCCTAAGGGAGAGGAAAGAAGGTGGTAGTGCTAGAGGAGGAGGAAGAAGAAGAAGAGGAGCCTAAACCACAAAAGTTAACAAAGGCTCAAAGGAAGGCAAGGAACACGACTCAAGGGGGGCAAGGCTCAGGAAAAGGTCAAGCCCCGCAGACTGTAGCGGCGCCACCCCCTGAGTCGTCCAGTCAAGCCACACCAGCACCCTGTGGGTCATGGCCAGGTTGTGGACCTCCCAGTCATTGGCATGGGCACTGTTCAAATGCACCATGGCCAACGGGCGGGCCGCATGGATCATGTGCCGGAGCGCCGATGAGTACGGCTTCCTGTGGATGGTCGGGACCCCTGTCTCAACAGGTGAGTCACTTCAACCCACCGCCAAACCAACCTCAGCAGTCGGCCCCATAAGGATCACAAGGGAATCAAGGTGGTGGAAGAGGACAAAATCAAGGATGGGGCCGAGGGCGAGGAAATGGTGGCCGCGGGGGATATGGGAGAGGAAACGCGAACAGTAACTCCCAGAGAGGAGGAAATGATGGGTGGAACGGTGCGGGGAGTCAGAGTGACCAGCAAGGTGGTGGAGGATATGGAAGAGGAAGGGTAGATTGGAGAAATGCCATCTGTTGGCATTGTGGCCAGAAGAGCCACACAATTAAGTTCTATTAGGTCCGAAAGAGTGATGAAAGAGATGGTCTTATAAGTTCATGCTATGATGGTGATTTTTTCGACATGTACGGTGAGTACATAGACCCGAGAATCCCAGGGGGGATAAGGGAAGAAGCTCTGCGCCGTGMTAGTGCCCCAGCTCCACCAKCTCCTCCGRYCGCTTTCYGTATTTGGCAAGAAGTAGAAGACCGTCAGGGCGTRAGGATAGAGGAGATAAGYGAAAGTGAAGAGGTTSAACAGGGATTGAGGGCCGACACCATAAAGGAGGAGCCTATAGTGGTTGAATCCGACGACGACGAGCAAGATGGTGGCCACGGCAGGGCAAGAGATACGATGGAGAGAATGGAGGACCTGCTGGCAAAAATCAGGAGGTACCAGGATAGGCTGACCACTCTTTGTGAGGAGGTCAACAGGTGGAAAGGAGAATTACGATTGGTGTACCTTATCGATTCAGGCCCAGGGGCACAAGGCGGGTCTGGAAACCTGCCGGAGTGACTGTCACGACGCCAACTCCTAGGTCTGGGATGACCTTCAGGCCGCCGTCAAGAGCCGGAAGGGCAGCTTTGGCGGCACGCACTAGATCGAAGGGAGCGCCCAACTCAAGCCAGCCCACTCAGGACAGCCCGGGACCCAGTGGCGAGAAAGAGACGGTAGAGATTCCAGAGGATGAGGAGAACGAGGATGAAAAGTTGAGGAAGGAAGAGGACAAGAAGGCTGAAGAGAGAGCCCAAAAGAGGGGCGCCAAAGCGAGCGCTGATAAAAAGCAGGAGGGAAAGAAGAGAAAGTATAAGGTCAGAATGGAGGAGGGGTTYGACGTGGAAGGAATRGTCGATCGACTCCTTGAAGGCCATAACRACCTAATGAACTTAAAAGAAATCCTCRCCTCCGCTCCAAAATTGAGGGACGAGCTGAAGGCTCGATTGTCCAGAAGATTAGTAGCAAGTGTGCGCTTAAGGACCATTATCCCCAAGGAAGGCGAGTGGGCTGAAACAGGCACAAAGATGGACTGGAAGTCCRTGGCGTGCGGGTGCATAGAAGTGATGGTAAAGGGTAAGCCGTGCACCGCAATGATAGACACGGGGGCGAAAAKGAACCTCATCAAAGAGGAACATGCGATTCGTCTGGGGATGGAGATCGATCGCTCCGACAATGGGGTCCTCATGGGGGCAAATAGCAGGTCTGTATTTATAGGGACCGCGTCAAGCGTGGTTGTCGAGATCGGCAGGGTAAAAGTAAGGAGTTGCTTCTTTGTAATGGCAGATCTTGATCACCCTATTCTGCTGGGCCGATCATTCCTAAGTAGGACTGAGACTCTCATCATTAACAAACATRATGGGACCATGTTCTTGGCACTTTGCGACCCTGTGTGTGGAAATTATGAGGTAATGACATGTAAGAACAYAGGGCCACRAAGTATAAGGAATCGACCTAACCCCGACTYTTTTACTATCGAARAGTCAGAGGAAGAAAGGATGAGGATGGAAGGCGGAGAGTCTGAAGGAGATGATCCGTCAGAGGTTTTGACACTCTGCCTGGCAAACATAGGGGATGCCATGGACATAGTATCCACCTACGGAATGGCAGACCCTGTGGCAGTAGAGKYCCTCAGGGAAAAGGTGATGGAGAGGAGAGGTGAAGGTGAGGCAGAACTCGTATATCGAGTGTCTGGGAGGGTAGGTGGAACCGCAGGAGCACACCCCCGAACTGCAACTCGGCTTTTTTTAGGGGTAAGCTCAAGCAGGGTTCACAAAGGCGGTACAAAAGGGTAGATCAGAAGTGCCGCTCTGTTCCTGTACTCGTCGCAGAGGAGCAAGAAATTTATTACGAGCGGGAACGAGAGTTGATATGGCAGATGCGAGAGGATGCACAGAATGGGCCATGTCGTATCACTCCTGAGACAGAAAAGACACTGATTATAGGGGAGCTCGGCTTCCTTACGGCGCAAGAGGAGAAGCTTATGGTAAAGACCATAAGAGGAAGGCATACTGCATATGCCTTCAATGATGATGACCGAGGCCGTCTGGACGTGGATAGAATCCCGATGATTAAGATACAAACCGTTCCCCACGAGCCATGAAACTTGCAGGGTGCGCGGTATCCTAATCCTGCTGATGAAGAAAAGGTAGTTAGCTACCTTGACGGAGAAATCCGCACACATGTGTCCGACTACTCGAGCGGACCGTATGCATCCCCTTGGTTTTGTTTCGTCAAACCAAACGGGATCTTAAGGTGGGTACAGGATTTGCAGCGCATGAATGCTGCAACTGTGAGAGATGCAGGAGGTCTCCCTAACGCAGATGCGCTTTCAGAGGCATGCGCTGGGAGAACCATCATATCTCTTATAGACTTATATTCTGGTTACGACCAGTTTCCTGTTTACCCCTCTAACAGGCCGATGACGGCAATGCATACCCCTCGAGGGTTAATTCATATGAACGTCGCACCGCAGGGGTGGACAAATGCAGTCGCCATGGTCCAGAGGCACATGGTGAGGGCAATACAGCCAGTAAGCCCTCACATTACTCAGCCTTACATTGATGATCTGGCCGTAAAAGGGCCTAAAGAGAAGAACGAGCAGGAGGTAATGCAAGGGATTAGATACTTTGTCTGGAACCATGTGCAAGACTTGTGCAGGGTCCTAGACTTGCTAAAGGAGGATAACCTCACTGCAAGTGGGTCTAAATCGAGGCACTGCATGAGAGGGGCCACTATCTTGGGGTTTGTGTGCAACGAGAGGGGTCGTCGACCAGACACTAAGAAAACCAATAAGATTCTCGAATGACCAACCCCAATCGAGACTATTATGGAAGTGAGAAGTTTCCTCGGGACATATGGGTTCTGGAGGATCTTCATAAAAGGGTTTGCGGTAAAGACGGAGCAGCTTCGAAAGCTCGTACGCCAAGGACAAGACTGAGAATGGGGAGATAAGCAGGAGTTGGCGATAAAGGGCCTAAAGAAGGAATTCGAAGAAGGGGGTCTAGTACTGGGAGTACCAGACCACTCGGTGGTAATGACCAGGCCTTTTATTGTAGAGACTGATGCAGGGCCAACTGCGTTAGGAGGTGTGTTGATTCAGCAAGACCTTAACAGAGAGGAGCGGCCACTAAGGTTTGAAAGTCGCACGCTTAACACAACTGAGAGAAATTACTCTCAGTTTAAGCGCGAAACCTTGGCGGTTCTCCATTGCTTAAGGATCTTTAGAAACTACCTCTTCGGCAGTAGGTTCGTGTTGAGGGTGGACCCAACTGMTCTAGYCGGTTCTCTCAAGAATTTCGCTCCATCAGACCCGACTATCGCCAGGTGGTTAACATACATCTGGATGTTCGATTTTGAATTAGAGCGAATTGCAGGAAATAAGAATAGAGCAGACGGATTGAGTCGAGTCGACTGGGACAAAAATAATCAAGGAGTGATCGAGGATACTCCGCCAGTCGACGGGTTTCTGGACACTGAGGACGATGTGAGACTTCACATCAACTCCTAGTCGATGGTCGTGGGTAACTACGTTACTCCTGGGCAACCTGTGTGGCTCGCGCCTCCAAGACATGTATGACGGCCAGACTCAATCCTTAAGCCTTTCATCGAAGAGGACTCGTGGGGGATGTCAAACGTACAGTGGATGATGGATCTGGCCTTAGGAGACAAATACCAGTTGCACGAAGACCTACTCACGGTGGAAAATGGGGCGCAACAGGTGGAAGGGCACGAGAGGTCGATAGGCGGGATATACCTCTTGGCCAATGCTCTACTTCAGGACGAGGTGGCAAGGATCGGGGATCAGCGGCAAGGTGAGAATGAGAATGTAATCCACGAAGGAGAGGACGACGATTTTGAAGAGGGAGAGATAAAAGAGGTTTTTCGCACGGAGGAGTATGACGGGATATATCTTGAATTAGGAATGCTCCTTTCGTGTGAAATGAGAGAAAGGGATGCATGCGAGAAAGTCCTCAAGATGCGACCAATTTTTTTGGTAAGGGATGGCCATCTATTTATGAGGAGCAGAAGGAAGACTCCTAGAAGGGTAGTCTGTGGTATCACTCGTCAGATTGACGTCATAGCTGCCCTACATGATGGAAAGGCAGGTGGCCATAGGAGTAAGGATACAACTTACCTCAAAATACACGAGCTATACTATTGGGATGGCATGGGATGAATGATCAACGATTATTGCAAGTCATGTGTTCCATGTCAAGAGCGGTCTTCCATTAGACCTACGGAGCCGCTTCACCCAAGGTACATACGCGAGGTTGGCGCGGTCATACATTTGAACTTACTGGCAATGCCGCTGGGAGTAGGAGGATATAACTTCATCTTCGATGCACGAGACAACCTCTCCGGTTTTGTAGATGGCAGAGTCATACGCACAAAAATTGGTGAGACCTTGGTTCGATGCATTAAGGAGTATTACGTTCGCTATCCTTTTGTCTCCAGATTCGTAATGGACAGAGGGTTCGAATTCACTTGTGCTGAGGTGAAAAAACTGCTTAGAGGGTATGGAGTGATCGCAGAGTATACTACTGCGGCGCACCCTCAAGCTAATGCACCTGTGGAGAGGGGTCATAGTACGATTACGAATCTCCTCGCTAAGTGGACGAATGGTAGGCCAAATCAGTGGCCTAACTTCCTAAGGGTCGCCTTCTTCGTGGATAACATCACTGTCAGAAGAAGCACCAACTACGCGCCAGCAACGTTGTGGTATGGCAGGCATGCGACGTTCCCTATCGAAAGTTTCCTGAAGACTTGGAGGCGGCAGGATCTCGAGACAAACTTGTCATTTGAGGAACTGCTAGACTTAAGGGCTCGTCAGATTAATGCCATAGAGGACAAAATTGAAAGTGCGGCGAGTAAGGTGGCTGAAAGTCGACAGAGGGATAAGTTCAGGTGGGATAAGATGGCAAGGGTAAGAAAGGAGCCTCTCAAGGTGGGCGACATTGTGCTGTTGTACGATTCATCCCTAGAGAAGCAGTGGTCGCGAAAGTTGGACAAGAGGTGGTTAGGACCATACAGGGTCGCGAGGAGTGGAGAGCATGGGGCATACCAGATTGAAGAGTTGAATGAGACTGTCTGGAGAGATTGGGTGTCAGGCTCGAGGTTGAAGAAGTTTGTCGCTCGAGACGAGGTGAGCATGGGTCCCACAGTTTAGAATCCCAATTACTAGATAGAGATATATATATGAGGAAATTGTGTATGTTTCTCAGTAAAATGGTGTGATAGAGTATAGTATTAAGATAGATTTATATACGTGTATTTACACATGTATGTATAGGTATTTAAGGTAGATATGGGAGGGGAATGTCTGTCTCCTGTTTTGTTTGCCGAACCTGCTTACCCTCTGTGTGTTTTTGTCTGTCTCTTCCTTGTTGTGCAGGCTTGACACCAGTTTTAGGCAGTCATGCCAAGAGGGAGGGGAGGGGCAGGGCCAGTGGAAACCCCTCTGGGGGTTACCAGACAGGGGATGCAAATGAGGGCCAGGAGAGAGGACAGGTCACCCATTTATATAGGAGACAACGTTGAGCTGTTCATTGTTGGGTTCAGGAGGCACGGTCATGAGTTTGGATGGGATAGTAGCAGGATCCTGCAGGAGGTGCGAGGAGCAGGCGAGTGGGCACAGCCCCTTATCAACTTCGTCAGGGAGTCATCGACCTGGCAGGATTTTGAGAGGAAGATGGAGGGCTTGCACCCATCGCCACTAGGAAGGGATGGACAGCCCATCCGTTTTGATGCCACTAACCTATGGGAATTCCTGAAGGGCTACGATGAGTTTGCAGACAGCATCAACGAGCCACCAAGCCAGAGGGTGAGGGGTTTTATTTTGTTTGTGAGGGAGCACCTCAGGCCATTCGTCAGGTCTATTGTAGAGCCTGCCCAGAACTGGGGCCATTGCAAGAAATTGCTCTGGAATCACTATACTCCAGCACGTCAGGCTGAGGAGAGAAGGAGCATGGGAAGGAGGAGAAAGGAGCCAGAGACTGCAGAAAAGAGAACCTCTGAGCAGGGCATGACCTCGAGAGCTCAAAGGGATGGCCAGAAGAGAGAGCACAGGTCCCAGAGGCAGGAGAGAGGGGAGGACCAGCATCAGCAGAGGGAGGAACAGACTGTAGAGGGGACCCAGAAGGGAGGACCCTCAGGAGGATCAGATATACCTCCTATGCCTGCTCAAGTACCTGAGGCTATTCCTAGGCCACGCATGCAGCCAAAGGCGTCTTATAGGGCACAGGGTCAAGGGCAGGATGAGGATCAGGCTGCAAGGGAGAAGGAACAGGACAAGGAGGAGAGAGCAGCAATAGAGAGAGAGAGATCAGAGTCCAAATCAGACTCAAGAACATTGCGAAGCTGCACGAGAAGGTTGAGCAGGGAGAGCAGTCTGTGATACTAGAAGATAGAAAGGGGAATGGCTCACCTACTCAAGACGATGAGACTCCTCTTTTCACGGAGGCTTGGGACAACTTTGATAAGTTGTTGGAGGCAACAGGGAGGCCCAGGGAGCAGCATCAGGGGATGGGGGTTAGGCTGGTCTCTACAGACTTGCTTAGCCTGAAGGGCCTTATGAAAGAAGGTTTTGTGGCGGCCAAGACTTCTAATGAAAAGATGGCGCGGGCATCTCATGAGCAGAGAATGGACTGGCAGAAAGAAATAGGAAGTCTCAAGAAGGAGTTGGAGAGGCAGAACAAGGAGATGGAAGCCATGAAGACTAAGGTGGAGAAGGCCTGGGCAGGCAACGAGGCCATCAGACAGGTCAACCAGACCCTTAACAAGGTCAATGACAATCTGAGGACCTACTTGCAGACACAGCAGAACACCTTTCAAGTAAAGGAGGCAAAGTGGGAAAAGAGAATCATGGACCTTGAGGCCAAGTGTGCACAGCAGGCACCTACTGCACTAGTAGACTGGACAGAGGTCCAGAGGTTTAAGATCAGGAAGCAGTCTGCAGAGGTGGCCTTCAAGTGTTAGAAGGTGGAAGAGAGGGCAAACGAACAGAAGGATGAGGAAATCCCCCTGCTAGATAAGGAGATGTTACAGCCTGAGGAAGCTCTAGCAGGGAAGGAGTCAGAGACTGGAGAGTTTGAGTGGAGGACGCCCACAGTCTTGGCATATAAGGCGAGGCCACCAACAGAGGATGCGATGGATGAGGCTGCACTTCCCATGACTAAGGAGGAGAGTGGGGAGACAGGAGGTTCAGGAGAGTGTGGGACAGGCCAAGGCTGAGGTTGAAGAGAGGGAGGAGCTGGAGATCTCTCAGAAGACCCCACCACCTCAGGATATGCCTCTGGTTGCAGGTCTGGAGGATGCACTGGGATCTTGGGCCACTGGATCCAGGGCAGAGGAACGAGTGAGTGAGCAGATGGCACAGACAGATGACAGAGCAGCATGTCCCATTCCTCCAGAGCACCCGCAGCTGGAGGTCACCAGCGAGGCCACAGCAGCCCCCTCATCTGTACCCTCTCATGCAGCTGACAAGATGGAGCAGAAAAAGTTTGGAAGATGCTTCTACTGCAAAAGAGGCAAGCACCCACAGAAGACTTGTCCCAAAAGCCTCAAGGATGAGGCCGATGGTTTGTTTTCATGGGATCCATCTGGCGTGCGCAGGAACAGAGATGGGAACCTGATCCTGAAGACTCGTCATGGGATACGGGCGCAGTTGTATAGGCAACTGCAGGAGGACATGAGTGATCAGGAGTAGGATTTACGAATAGGGTCCGGAAAAGTCTAGATTCTGATATGTGTAGAACATCTCTGACTCACTAATGATGATGATTGTATATAGGAGAACACATGGAGGATTGGATCACGCTCATGTACATCAGTTAATTGAGTCATTACAGAAGTGTTTACTTTCGCATATAGACTTTCAGACTTAGTGTACATAGGATAGCATTGAGTGTGACACTGGCTACTTCGGTTTTCCTTTCTTTTTTTTAAGTGTGGTGTGGAGTGTTTCTAGGTAGTGCTTTTATGTGAGTTTATTATTCTTTCCCTTTCAAAGCAGGGTGAGTCAGACAGTGTGTGAGTGATGTGAGGTGTGGATACTCTGGCTCTCTTTTACTTTTTGACTTTCTTGGATATTTTGACTTTTTTCCAGATACTTTGATACCTTGTTGGATACCATGAGTCCTTGTTGGATACTACGAGTCCTTGTGCGATACTTGACTCTTTGTACGATACTTTGATTTTTTTTTTCTCGATATGGACAGGAGCCTTTGCTTATTTGCAAGGTCCTCACAATCTGTGTACTTGTGCGAGTCTCAAACTTCTTTCTTTTTGTGTGGTGTGTCACGCTCACTCTCAGTTGTGAACTTGCCCATATGAATGATTAATGTGATGAATCAAAATGTTGTGGACATGACCTGATTTGCACTATCTTCCTCTGTACTTAGGCATATCTGTTATTAGAACAGACGAAGTCATAAGCACAGTGAAAGAGAGTGCACCTCACGTCTGTCTGAAAGAAGGAATTCGGTGTTGTGTTTAAAAAGATCTGAGTGCTGATAAATGGAGAGGTCACAGCTAAAAGTTGTGTCTTTTGTGTGGTTCGAAAACGAGAGAAGGAGGCTCAATGGCCGTTGGGAAGGCCAAAATCTTTGTGAGAATTATAGATGAAAATTTTCTGGCAATTATGATAGGAAACTTTTGTGAGATGTCCCTAAGACGTGTGACCGCCGCCTGTTCTAATCAAAGTAAAGCGGGGCACAACCTTGTGGATAAGAGAAAGTTGTTGGAACACAGAGAGAAAGAGACACTATCCCCCCACATGGTCCGAGGTTAGGAGAGTATGTGAATCTAGAGGTTGTCCAGAGCTATTTGCCAGACCACAATGGTTAGTCTARGGGGACATATTTTGTGAGGCCAAGCTAAGGGGCTATACTTAGCATCGCTGGAACTGTAGAACCTAACTCCCAGCGAGGGYCGYTGACCGGCGCAACCTGGCAGCGGGACCACGACTCACCAATGGTTAAATCTTGAAGGGTCGGCCGCCCGGAGAGGTATAGCTAGGGGGGAGTCAGTGGGGTTGARCGAGTCTGAGAGYCGGTAAGTACGCCTATCGTTGCGCAACCAACGAGGGCATCATCGCTATATAACAACGCGATGAGCCGTGGATACGGTGTGATCGACCGTTCTGCGGTGGGCCAAGATGGAGACCTGAAACCTCCTGTGTAGACAYCACGGTGGGCAGTTATTATGAGAGATATTTGAGATCGTAAAAATTACCATTTTGGGAACTAAAGCTGCCTCGGTTTTTTAGAGAGGTCTCGGTTAGGGCCCGCGTCCTGAGTTATGACCCCGTACGGGGGACGATGACTCATTAGGAGACCCAACGATAAACCGGCAGATGTCTACGACGGAGGGAGGAGGGCTATCAATCTACTACTTGGAAGCGGGTATTACGCTGTAGTACGGATGACAGTACACCCTAACTCCTAGGCCAGGATGTGGGAGACCCAGGTTAAAACCCTGGCAGTGGAACGTCGTGACTGGGGTAGATTGACCAGATGCCTCTGACGGAGTCGAGCCGCCTAGTCGGAATGGTTCTTACCTCGTCAGCAGATGGGATTTTGAGTGCTTATAGCCTTTGATTCTTCGACGCGACGGGGACGTCGCTTAATAGGGTCCGGAAAAACTGTCGGCACCAATACCCTTACAAGGGTAATTGTGCGTACTTTTGCACCTCGCAGGAGGAGCACTCTTCATAAAATTTAAGGAAGTGGCATGCATTCGCTCAGTCGTGACTGACTCTTGAAAGTCAGGAAGTGGCGGGCGCACGCTTGGATGAGTTAGAGGGTGTGTGTATGGGCGTGCACTTTGTGGGCACGCGTTAGTTAAAATTTTTGACTAGTGTGAACAAACGAACCGCTCAATGGTTCAAGTTAGAAATAAGCTAGAAGTTTGGATAGCGTAGCGAGGACCGCAACTTCGGGCGCACTGACGAGGTCGCCACCGGCGCAAAGTTAGACCGTCGAGGCTATGGCTAGAGGAAAACTTTCGACTAACTTGCGGAAGGGCGGCGTTTTGAGGCCGTACCATGTGAAGCATGTAAGTACTATGTTTGACTATAAAGGTATCGGCGGTAGGAGCCATAACAAATTTTAGCTAGGTACGACGCGTGGATACGGCGCGAGCAAAAGTCGGAGTCTTTCCGACCAAAGACGATAAAAGCACGCTTTTTTTTATGAGTACGGCGGGCTACGAAAGCCTCATCCCATGACCGCGGCATGACGGG